CCTTGAAAACCGCAAAGGACTCGTCCAAAAAAGGCAGTCACTGCAGAGTCGGTAACGACTGAGTGCAGATAAAAAAAAAAAAAAAAGTTCTTATTAAAAACAAAAGGATGTTGGCAGTTGCAAATAACAACAGTGCGAACAAGTGCTGAAATAGATTACAGGTTTGGAAAAAATGAGACACTAAGTGAAACTGACCTTAATAGGTGTGTCCGTTCACCTCCAGTTCCAAGATGAGTATTGGCTGGTCAAGATCTTCTGATACGGAATGCCCTTTACTGACACAACCTGGGAAGTATACATCAAGGTTTCAAAACTCTCTTCCTCAGCAGAGTGAAATACGGATTGCAGCATCAGAACCTGCCTCTGGCAAAGCTTCTGAATATTTGGGGTTGATAAAATCGGCATTGTTCCAATTTCAGAAGCCAGGTGAATGGACAGAGCACCTGGTATTCTGGACAAAGGTAGACAACGTCTGCCCTCCAATTCCCAGCCCCTTCAGGGTGCATGAGATACTGAGAGTTTTAGTTCAGCAATATTGGGGGTATCACAGGTTTCCTACCCCTGTTTCAAAGCAACCTTCTTCAACCTGGATACTTCAAGAGAACCAACGACCAGGAGAGCTATTGCTGATTCATGGGAGGAAATGGCCAGACTTACGATTATGCAGGCAAAAGAAGAGACACATACCACTAGAAGTTAAAACAATCCAAATTCCAGGTTGAAACAAAACAATTGGCCATACAGGTAGTCCCCAGTTTAAGAACGAGTTCCATTCCCAAGGTCTGTCCTTAAGTCACATTTGTATGTAAGCCAGAACGGTATTATATAATACTCTATAAGGAGCATTGTGTAAGAACTCGAACCCTTATGTATTTAACTCGAGTTTTGCTACAATAGGCTCTGTTTTTAACTAAGAGTCGTCCTTAAACTGGGGACTACCTGTATATTGGTTTCTCTTTAGGGACAGTGCCTTCTGCATTATAGAAAGCTTAAGGAAATTCACACATAGCCTCATATTTGCAGCTTTGCTACAGGCCAGCTGAGTTGGGGTTCAGAGAATCATCTGCATTTACCATGCTGGCCTATATTGTTCCTTATTATTCATGTATATAAGACACCTAAAAGGATTTACAGTTGTTTCAGTTTCATTTCTGATCTACCTCTTTTATGGTAGTTGCTTAGGTTTGATCATGGCGCAACATTGTTTTGCTAAACTTCTTTCCCAAGAGAAGTAACCAAGGCTAACGCCAGTCCTTTCCTTATCATCACCAGTCCAGAACCTCAAGACTGGGTCAGATTCCATCCTTCTGAGGTGTAGAAGTATGAGCCAAACCAAGTGAGACCTGTCCTCTAGCTGTTCATGGTCATGTGCTTTTTTGATCCATGAGCTCTGGATCAAGGTCCATCTTTTCACAGAAATATGAGCTCAAACATCCAACCTGCTGCCTACTCCCCACCTTTTGCAGCCCACAGCCTCCCTGCTTCTTGGGGTCAGCAGACCACCACATCCTATACCCACCTCATCCCAAAATCTGCCTCAAATAAGCAGTCTATGACATAATATACTCACGATGCACATGCTGGTACGTTGTGAGTGAAACAACACACCTTCTCACGCTTCCTCCCCCACTGCTCCACTGAACGGATTCCTTCGCTCACCCTGGTGCTTTCCCAGATTTTCTTGCTGGTACCTCTCTCTTTACGCTCCTTCTATGAAATCTTCTTCCTGCACCCCATCGATCCACAAGTATTCTCTCTTGACTTTCCCTTGCAACTCTTCACACTTCTTGGGCCACGCCTATCTCTGGTGCAACATTCCTCTAATGACCCCACAGAGCTATTTCTTCATTCAGCACACACCCTTCTGGGTTTTCTCTTGCCCGCTAATTGTCCGGTCTCTTCTTCTGTCATTCCTGTCTTTTGCCATCTGCTCCTTGATCTTGCTGTCTCTTTTCCCACAGTCCAATTTGCTCAGACAGGCAGTTCCTGCTCTGCGGCTGTCCAATCATAGACATCTGGAGGCTATTTTTAAACCTCTGAGTTAAGTGTGGGATAGGCAGGGAAGCCTGTCACTCCAAAGACGCAAGACACATGCTTCACCACAGTTCTGTCGTTCGGGTTTTTTCCCCCCTCTGCCTTCACCGCCAATTCTGCCATAGCCGATCTCTCACTCTGCATTTGCCTAGACTGTAGTTCAGTCTTACTACAACCCACAAATCCTATGCTGATACCAAACGTGGTCGCCGAAGGACACACAGCCTGGCACACTTATAAACTCTCCTGTCACTGAGACACTCAACTAGGAAAGGGACCTTCAAAAATCTGTTGTCAGACTTTACCCTTCCTCTGGCAACGCTAAGATGCATTGCCCTCTTTCATCTCCTCCTCCTCCTCCTCCTCTGATGAAAGAGATGCTGCATCTTATTGGAGAATCAGGACCAACATTTGCAAAAGTTTGTGCTGTGTTGTCCCTAAGGTGCCCAGGCTCTTTTTGCAACCACACACTGCTTAGTGACTTGGTTGGAAATGCACATGGAAAAAAAAAAAAATCTTCTTAGGTATGGAGTACTAACCAAAATCCCTTTAAAAAAATCAGTTACATCTATTATAGCCACCAAAATGGCTTTTGAGACGAGTTATGAAACCTCATTTCTGCTGTAAACGTACTGCCTACCTGCAAGCGAAGCCACTCCCTATCTCAGTGCCTTTGAAGAGAATGCATTTCAAAATGGATGCAGAACTTTCTTCCCATCCTGTGGGAATACCTTTCTTGCCCTCCCCCACCCCCCATTTGGAAAGCGTATTTGGTTGCACAGAATAGGGTTACTGACCTTAGAGAGAATATTAAAATGTATTAGGGTAATTTTCAGTCCTGGATGTCATGGTATCTCTCCCCACCCACCTCTAGGTGATTTATTGTTTCTTTAACAATAAAATATAAGATAGCCTTGCTGATTTTTCTGCTTAATCTGATGTGGAAATCTGCCTTTGAGTGCTACCTTGCAGGCACCACTGCTTGGCATGTTAAGGATAAAAATATTTAATGGCCAAATCTTTCCTGAGATGAAGCTCATTTTAGTCAAACATGCTAAGTATTACCTTAAGCAGGTAGCGATATCACATGGAGCGCAGCTGATCAAAGGAGGATCAGATATAGAGTAAGGGCATTTGTTCATACTGGGACGTAACAAACAAGAAGTGTGAGGGATTCATTAAATGGAGTCACAGAGTTGTTTTTATATCTGTTTTTGCTTAGCATTTGCAAAATCCACCATCTGTAAAAGCATTTTGTGTAGTTTAATTGTAAGTGATCTAGGCAACTGGCTTATTCAACAAACCAGGGTTAAAGCAAACCATGTCTTAGGCCACCCAAGGTCATAACTGACTGCAGAATCCAACTTTGTTCAAGATGAAATCAGAGTAAGTTTCTATTCCTCTGTCAGGGGATATCAAGGATTAATTAGTACAACAATAAAAAGAGCAGATAGAAAATAATGATAATGATAACCCAGAATGGTTGGATGGCTCTCTGGAAGTTAGAAATTTCTCTTGACTTATTTCAAAAGATAACCTTTATGTATTGGAGGGGGTGATGTTGTCCTATAGCTGAAAGGGGAGAGCAAATCTACGTGGGTGGGTGTTTCTCTGTGTGTATCTGATGGCCTCTCTTTGGGAATCTGTTGACTGACCTACTTGTTTATATCCGTTTATCCTCTTTGTATATCTGTAAATAAAACAAACGTTGCACAGACATCCCGTGTTGCACTCTCATTTAAAAGAAGCAGAGCCTGTATTGGAATTTCTGGCTGCTGGGAAAAGTGGAAAGGCATATAAACACTGGGATTTTTTTAAAAAAATGGCAGGCAAGGAAGCAGCTATGAACAATGTAAGTTGTTTCTGAAAGCAACGTTTACAGTTTCTTCATCTAGCAAATGAGTTGTGATCACATCAAATCACCCTTTATATATTGTGTCCAACCTGCAAGCCCCTCTAATCATTGTAGTGAAAAATACAATAATGGGCTTTTCTGTTTCTGTGCCATACAGTGGTCTCTAGAAATGACACTTTTAATCTCTTCTATACCATAAATGTACTAGTCGTTTCATTGCCAAAAGAATTTGACAGGTTCATGCTATGGTTAAGAAAGTCAAGACGATGGCCATGAATGTGTCATTGAAGCTTCACATGTGCTTTTATGCAACATCCCTAAAAACGGGTGGAACTTCAGTTTCATCCTCATGGCCACCATCTTGACTTTTTTGACCACATCCTGGGACCACCCCAGCATTGTACTGAAATTTATTTTAATCATAGTTCATTGAATAAGGGTCAGCCCCTCTAGATCGACTAGACCAGGAAATCCACTCCACAGGAGGGCTAAAATTACTTTTATTGATACTGGCTACAGTAACAGAACCTTGCAAGTCTGATGGTGCTGGACTTCCTCCTCCTCCTCCTCCTCCTTATAGTTCAGCAAATTAGGGAGGTGACTGCCCGAGTCACTTCTGAATGTTATCCGGCTGTTCCTGCCTTTAAAAAATGCTTCAGCCCCTTTTCTTTAGGAAGCAGTTCCCGCATATCTCTGCCAAGTAAGTTTCTGTTGGTTCTGCTTGCAAAGCAACATCCTATTATGAATTAGCTCACTATACGATACATTTCAGTGGGTTTTTTTCTGATCATATATTTGACTTCTAATAGACATGGCACAGACGCTTAGTAATGCTAGTGCAGTTAGTTGCTTGACAGAGCATTGTGAACTGTAACCACACAAACACTTTTCATCTTAACCACATCAATAATTCAATTGCCTCACCGACTTGTCCTAAAGATAGATAGATAGTTCTCCCAGGTCTTTAAATAGCCTACTATAGAAAATGTAGCAAGAAAACGCCTTCTGAAGTTTCATTTCTACAAAGCAAGGCTTGGAGCCGCAGGCTAGTTCAGACTGGGAATTTCAGAAAGGCGATGGGAATATCATATTCCCAAAAAGCACCTGGCTTTCAAGTAGCATCTCGCCTATGCAGGAGAAAATTGTCACTGAACATTATGAGGACTGGAATTTCTGGAATAGGAAAGGTTGCATGTGTTAATTAAGTTACCAATGCCAGATGTCGGTGGCTACAGTTAATAATCTTAACTGACATTACCTATATTTTCTGCATTCCTCTCCGATATATGTGCATACACCTGTAATTCTGGGTAACATCTACGTCCGATACGACAGGCCCAAATATATCCATATCTCTTTCTTTGTTTTCGTGACAGAGTAACACCATTTCCTCCCCCTCTGGAAAAAGGTGAATGACTAATATGGAGGTAGGGAATAAAACAGAATAACTTGTGAAAGGAGTGTGGGATTTGTGTTTCAAACTACCCTTTCGTTTATGGGCTTTTGTGTTACATCTGGCTGGTGGGATGTCTCCTTCACTGATCTGTGTCCTTGCGTCCTTGGGTACACAAATTCTTAAGATAGACATCTCTTTTGTGATGTTACATTGTTCAAGGTAGCAAAACAAAGTTCATTACCCCCAAATCCAAGAAAATAGGCCAGTAACCAAGTTTACGGAACAGAATTACTTTAGGAATAAGATGAATTCAGGGTGGTACAAATGTAATACTGCTTTGAAGCGGGGGAGGAAAATAAATTTCTAAAGTATAGTTGGCTCCTTTGTGGCTCAGTGTGTTGTATACATCTAGTCTATAATGTTTAGAGTACTTTATAGTTCAACGTGCTGTGTGAACCCAGGCAATTGAAAGAACTCAGTAAACCATGGTTCAGCTAGCTGTGGATTAGCCTGTTGCAATTCATGCCACAAATCTGGCAAAGTAAAATTCAGTTATCTTTTTTTTGTTCACTGTAATTTTTGCAAATACACTTACCTCTGTCTACTGTACATGAAAGTTCATTCTCGTGCATTCTCACTTTTTGGAATACTGTAAAAGGCAAACCTCCATTGTTTTGCACATAGAAAAAAAAACACAAATTGTAAGTAGAACATGAAACTTACACGTACTGTGATTTCTACAACTATGTGTTGTTTAGCAGAGTATTCCTAGACTTGAACAGTGTTGTTTAGTAATTCTTACTAGCTGATTCTCAGTAGCTACTGTATGTTGCTTAGGACAATTGCTTAGGCAATCTTTTCAATGACATTTGATTAATCTGAACAGAGTGGACACATTGCACAGAGCTACTGTGAATTAGCTAATCCAAAGAAAAAGATATATTAAGCTTCCAACATCTCTGATCTGAAAGTTAGAGGTGAAACATGAAAGAATTATTAAGTACAGATACCAATGGCTATACACAAATACCAGTTGAGTATTTGTTGCAAGAACATTAATTTAATGGAAAAAAGTCACCAGCACAAATATCAGTCACATCCCAAACAAGTTTCCATTGCCTATAATCAGAGATAATCCATGAAATAATTAAGAGACTTCCCCATTCCTCTTTTTTTAAAAAAATGGGGAGTGAAAATTATATAACAGGATTGTATGCAATGCATTAGTGGAAACTGAAAAAAATCCTTGCAATCTTATTGATTTACTATATTTCAATTAAAGCAGACTTCAAACAGAGTGAGCGTCTTGTAAGCAAAAGGTAGTTTGTAACGTTTTCATTTGTGACTCTGTAAAGTGATGCTTAGCCTGTCATTAAAGGCTGCAGTCTCCTACAGCCTTTGTGGCTTCTGAACATCTTTTTTGCGCCCCTTAAGACCCTCTCCAAAAATCAGTAGAGTGGCGTTTCGTGCCATTTTGAGGCAGAAAAGATATGAAAAATATACTGGGAAGCCAAAGCTTTTACTTTAAAAAAGGATTGAATGAGAAAAAAAGCAGAGGAAAAAACAGCCAATATCCCCGGAGGGAGGGAGAGACAATCTTAGCTTTAGGCTTTGCACATCACCATCCTGCACAGCGTTGCCCTGAGCAACCCCCACCTGTAAATTTGCTCATTAATCATTAAGTGCACACGTGTCACAGAGAACCTGGTGTCCACCAGTTATTTTATCATTTCAATAATCCCCATCCAGCATTCCCGATTGTCGGATGCTACGGGAATTGTAGTCCAAATCCTCCGAGGACAGCTGACTGCCTACTCCTGTGTGCAAGACTGCAATGATAGGAAACTCTCCCGTCCAGGACTAGCCTTCTCTTTCCAAAGAACATGTTTTTTTATTCATTGGCGCAACTGAGCAAACTCCAATCATTGTCACTGCGTGTCCTTCCACTGCAATTTAGTGGTGAAATACTTAAGCCGCGTACGACTCTGAACACGCGCTGACGTTTCACTCGCTCACGCGGCACAAATCCGGAAGTGACTTCACTCACGAAGTCATGCGTTTTCCTCCTCCCTCCCGATCCTCTTCCTTGTGTCTCGTATCTTTAAGCTTCAGGGCAAGGAAAGCTAGTCTTCGCAAAGCGGCTCACGGAACCTTTCTGAGCGAAGGGCCGGGGAGTAAGTTTTCATTGAGAAAATAAAGGGGAAAAGAAGTTGGCACTGGAAAATTGACTTGCCGAGAAGAAAGAGTTAATTTCAGGCTCCTCCTCCCAAGGGGGCGGAGCTCTTAGTGGAAAAATTCTGCAGAATTCTGGGATTTTTGTCCCGAAGTTACCGGTGGGTAGGTAAAAGGGAGCTAATTGAGAGGGAGAGGGCGGGAGTTACGGGTTAATTGCAGCAAATGACGGAAGGCGCCGTTCCGACGTTCTCTGCTCTCGCCAGCTCTGACACTTAAGCCTTTCCGCGTCTATTTAGGATCGCGGTGCAAACTGTCTTCCCCAACCAAGGACCCTTCGGACATTCTGAATCCAAGGTTAGGGCAGGCAGGTTGATGCCTTAAGAAGGGTGAATGCCGAAACGGGGAGCGTGGCGTGTTCTCTGGAAGTTATCGTGTACGTGTGAAATAGAGAGCAGAATAACACGTCAGTAGCAAGAAGAGGGTCCTTGGAAGTGTAATGCAATTAAAAAAAAAAAAGGAAAGCCAGCCCTTGGTGGTTTTTTGATAGCCGTCCTGTTCCTAAAACTTTGGGCCTAATAAATGTACCATTAGGTTTGGTTATGTTATGTTTTGCTGGTTTACAGTAGCATTTCTGAAATGTTCAGGTAAACTATACAGGTAGGTATACCTTTTGGGGAGGGGGGTTGTAATTATCCCAATTCCAACTGAGCCATTTTTGAGATTTGGGTCTGTTTTTTGTACACCTTTTTGGTAAATGGGTTAAAGGGGCTGGATTTGAAGCTGGGAGACTTGAGTTCTAACCCTAACCCCAGCTACAAAAGCCGGCTGGGGGAGTTTGGGCCAGATTCTCCCCCAGCCCAAGGAAAAGGGTAACAGCAAGCCGCTTCTGAAAACGTTATCAAGAACACTGTATGGATTTGTTTGTGCATAGATTATATTTTCTTTGAAATGCCTCAGTGGTAATTTTCCTTCATGTTCTCTTTTGTTCCAAGGTCAAGCACCTTGTCGGGAGTCTCCAATCCGAAGTCATGTCGGTGGGCTGCGTTTACACACGGCTGAATCTTCTTCTCCAAACGCCCCGCTTGATGCTGTTCCACCATCCCAGTTGCGCCATCCATGCTTCTAGTGCCACACTCGCTGGACATAACAAGTGGTCCAAAGTCAAAAATGTGAAGGGTCCTAAAGATACCGCACGTGCCTTGGTCTTCCAAAAACTTGCCATGATGATCCGCTTTGCTGTAAGGGGTATGGGTGCAATGTTTCACTGGCCTTTTTATAATGGAAGTAGAGACTCAAGAGCTTGACTGCTGTGGCTAAGCCATGATGTGGTTGGTTTGGTTTTAGCTCGGTGTGTTGTGTGAAACCAGCCATTGGGTGGTTTGTAACCGTGGTTTGCGATTTACCATATTGAGTGCTGTTCCGACCAATAGCTATTGGACAAACTCATCTTAGCTCAGTGTGTGAGCTTGGTCCTTGTCTGAGAGAGGGACTTGCAGAAAAGACATAGTTGTGGCATGTGACACTGTTTTCTGGTGAGCAGAACAATCTTTTCTTGCCAAGTGTTATGATTGTTATGTCTTTTCTCCAGAAGTTTGAGACAGTGCACATAACATCTTTGTCCCATTTTTCTGCACAACAAATGTGTGATGAAGGTTGGCCTAGTCCAGTGTTTCTCAACTTCAACAACTTTAAGATGTGTGGACTTCATCTCCCAGAATTCCCCAGCCAGCATTCTGGCTGGGGAGTTCTGGGAGTTGAAGCCCACAGAGCTTAAAGTTGCTGAGGTTGACAAACACTGGACTAGTCTCTCTGGGGCCAGTCCATCACCTTAACAACAGTGTTCTTCTAACAAGTTAACCTCTTTTCAGGCAGTTTATGGACAAGATAGCACAACTGTTCTTTGTCCCAGCACCTGTATTCAGACATGCTTTCTTTAAATGCTTGGATTCCATTTAACTTTCCTGGTTTATAGTGTGACTTCATGAATCTACCCAATCTGCTCTATTTTAGGTGGTGGCTGCCACTGCCCCCACCTTCTGTGGCCATGAGTTATGGCCACTCCATAAATTAATAGGGCACTGCACCAAAGCAGAGAATTAATCCATGTTGTTCCCTATTTACACTGAACGAATCCTTCCGAGGTTTTTCCCCAGATTTAATAAAAAATGCCAAGACTTTCTGCATTTAAATGCACTTTCTGCATTTAGGCTGTCTACTGAATGTTCTCTCTTTTCCTTATCCATTTAACTTTCCTGGTTTATAGTGTGACTTCATGAATCTACCCAATCTGCTCTATTTTAGGTGGTGGCTGCCACTGCCCCCACATTCTGTGGCCATGAGTTATGGCCACTCCATAAATTAATAGGGCACTGCACCAAAGCAGAGAATTAATCCATGTTGTTCCCTATTTACACTGAACGAATCCTTCCGAGGTTTTTCCCCAGATTTAATAAAAAATGCCAAGACTTTCTGCATTTAAATGCACTTTCTGCATTTAGGCTGTCTACTGAATATTCTCTCTTTTCCTTAATTACAATATTTGGAAGAAACAATGGGGTGCACATGCTTACTATAATTACGTATAGCTGAACTCAGCACATACATTTTTCTGTATAGCCTTACTTTCATCTATCTGCATTGTAGTTTTTCTTGTACTGAATGTTGGCTTGAACAAAAATCGCTCTATTTCCAGTTGTTCTATAAAATGCAATGTAGTGCTTCATGAACAAATAATTATCTACCATCACTTTCTGCATTGTTTTTCAGAAGGAGGATCCAACCCAAATTTTAACAGTAATTTAGCCAACCTTATTGAGGTGTGTCGAAGGAAGAATATGCCCAAAGCATCCATTGAAACAGCCATCTCTGGTGCGGTAGGTTTCTGAGTCATTGGGGGTCTGTGTGAGGGTGGCCATAGCCATGGATGTACAATATGAGCTATGATAATGCCAAAATGATGGTGTTATCAACATGAGGATATAAGGAACGTGACATCATTGCCAAGACAAGAATTACATACTTAGGTCAGGATACAAGGACATCGTTTGTGTTTTTTGCTCCATGATACCGTGCCACATGGATCATCATGTGCCTCCCCCCCACCCTTCCCTGTGAATGTCTCTGCTGACTCCTTTGTGGGCAAACAGTATTTGCAAAAAGGGAAATGTTGCATCTATTGTGGGGCAAAACATTTATCCGGACCAGCCAGCTTTGGCCTCTGCTTTTATTCAATTGTGATTTTTGTTGCTGCTTGGTTTGTAATTATCCATTCCTTCATGGATCTTGTAGAGCAGAAAAGCAGCTTAGAACTATCTTTAAGGAATAAATTGAAAAGTACTTGAAGACCACTTGGAAGCTACAGCTGGTCCAGACAGCAGCGGCATGGACAGTATTGGGCGTCCCTAGATTTGCCCATGTTACACTTCTGCTGCACGAGCTGAACTGGCTCCCAGTTTCCTTCCAGGGGCAATTCAAGGTGCTGGTCATCACCTTTAAAGCCCTACATGGCACGGGACCAGGTTATTTGCAGATACCTGCCTTGAGGGTATCTGCCCGTCCTATCAGATCAGATAGGGTAGGAATGCTCCAGGTCCCTTCCCCGACATCCTGCCACCTACTGGGATCTCGGAAGCCTGCCTTTTCCATGGCTGCCCCTTAGTTATGGAACACCCTCCGCCCCCCCCGGTGATTTGGCAGCTCCCCCCCTTTAAGCCTTTCGGAAGGCCATCGAGACCTGGCTCTTTACCCAGGCACTGGGATAGAATGAGGATATCTGGAGCTGGTTGTTGGGCATCCCAAGGGGATGATTGAGGTTTGGGTTTTTGTTTTTTGATTTTATGGCTTTATGGTCTATGATTTTATAGTTATTGGCTTTATCATTGTCAGCCATCCAGAGTTGTGTTTAAGATGGGCGACTATACAAATTGAATGAATGAATGAATGAATGAATGAATGAATGAATGCATTTGTTCTCTCTTGTTAAATTGCTTGAAAGGGGCAGCTGAAGATAATGTGCTTTTAAAAAAAAAGTAGATACTTGAAACTGAAGTGATGGGGTAGATGTGATTTATTGGTGGTTACCATTATTAACTTCTTTGGCAGGAGAAAACAAAATCGATCTATCACCTCTGTGGCATCCGAGGTCCAGGTGGCTCATCTTTCTATGTGGAAATACTGACAGACAACCTAAAGAGGTGTTCCAACGAAATCCGACATCTTTTAAACAAAAATGGGTTAGTGCAACACGAGGAGCGTTGGCTGGCTACTTTGGAAGGGGTGGGTGGGCACGCGAGTTGAACAGGGATTTGCTGAAGAAGGTATCTATGCTCTCTGTTCCTTGCCTCGGAGAAAGTGGGGACTGAGGTCCTTTTGCATCAGAGGCTGTAGAAGCTCTAGTAGGCCACTGCTTAAGCCTTAGGCTAAAAGCTTCCACTTGGTTCCCTGCAGGGGGAGCATTGCTGATGGGATCCACAGTCATTTTGAAAAAAAGGGGGTTGTGACTGTGAGCAAGGAAGACAAATCTGGCAGGCCTCTCAGCTTGGATCGGGCACTCGAGTTGGCAATTGAAGCCGGAGCTGAAGATGTCCAGGAAGAGGAAGAGGAGGATGAGAAGGTGGTGCTGAAGGTAAGTTGAAAGGGTGGGTTTAAATTTAGCAAAGCAAGCAACATATGCTCGAGAGACAATAGCTATTTGATTTCCCCTGTGTCTACATCATGCCTTCCTGGTAGATGTGTTGTATTTGAATTTCTAGAAGAAATATGGAGGTACAGTGGTACCTCGGGATACGAACTTAATCCGTTCCGTGACTCTGGTTGCAAC